AGTTCCTGCACCCGAGCTCCTCAGTGTTTACACAACATTCATACTTCCCAAGCTCACCTATGTCTCTCCTACCTGGTCTTCCTCCCTAAATGCCACATAACGTAAACACCTAGAAAAAGTGCAAAAGAGGGCATGCAAGATTATTCTCTCCCCTTCCTACTTCACATATCAAGAAGCGCTCAACACACTGACCCTTTCGACTCTCACTGACCATCACCACGACCTCATCTGCAAATTTGGTAAGAAGCTTCTACACCATCCTCGACACCGGCTCCTACTACCACCTGAGATCCCTAGCCCGATAATTGCTGTTCGACACCACAACCGCATCCAGCCCATACGTGCACGAACTGATCGCTATAAGAACAGCCCAGTCCCAACCATTGTAAAAATTATCAATAACTTGTAATAAACCAGTGTATTCATTCCCAGTAAATACTACTTCTTGCACTGTCACTATGTTGAAAAGCACTGTAGTTTGAGCTTTTCCCCGTCTAGTTATTATATATCATATTTGTATCACTTATGTTACTTGTATATTATTTGTAATTCGAAACCCATTCCCCAAATATGTAACTGTATATTTTCAGCCTTCTGGCTGCCAAGCTCTTTCAATAAACCGTTAATTATTATTATTAATTATTATTATTATGGTTGACATGGAGGGAGGGAGTCCTGACCTGGGAGGGATCTGGGGTAATGGATGGATAGAGTCCTGACCTGGGTGACGGATGGAGGGAGCCCTGACCTGGGTGATGGATGGATGGAGTCCTGACCTGGGAGGGACCTGGGGGTAATGGAGGGAGGGAGTCCTCATCTGGGGGTGATGGAGGGAGGGAGTCCTGACCTGGGAGGGACCTGGGGTAATGGAGGGAGGGAGTCCTGACCTGGGAGGGACCTGGGGGTGATGGAGGGAGGGAGTCCTGACTTGGGAGGGACCTGGGGTGGAGGGAGGGAGTCCTGACCTGCCACTTTTTTTTTTTTTTTTTTTTAGGTTAAGGTGGGGAAAGGGTGGAAGGCATGCTGGGGCTCAAGGCACAGCCAGACATGAGGGATGGAGAAGTCACAACATATAGTCGTGGCGGGAAAGGTTGGAAAAGAAGTTTAATGAGTTAAACAGAGGGGGACGACACCCCTTGTTTTACATATTACAGAGTTTGTTGGCTAACTAAGCTAACCTAGGATTTAGAATGAGGTTGCACAATGGTTATTTTAGTAGGCAATGACTAGATTGATTTTACAATTACAAGTTTATTAACATCTTATACTGTATTACGTTATGGACTCACTTGATTGTGACTTGTTAAATGTGAATTTATATCATCTAAGTTTTAATCTAAGGTGGATCACTGTGGCGGACATAGATGGATCGCGGGTTGGGTTGTTGTAGTGCGGGCAGACTCCGGGGCCACCAGGCGTGGGGTCTCCCTCCGTTGATGTCTTCCCCGCGTAGGTGGTCTGGGCTGTGAGGGTCGTCCAGGAGCTTGTCCCAAACCTTCTTCCCTAGGCGATGGAACCTGAAGTTGAGGGCCTCTGTTTTATTTCTTAGGTGGATGGTTTCCACTGTCTCCTGGTAGGGTGGCGCTTGGCCACTGGCTGACCTCAAACACTTGTTTTGGAAGCTCTGTAGTTGTTGTAGTCTAGTCTTCCCGAGTGTGACGAGTGGTATAGATGGGTACTCCAACACAGGCCTCACCAGTGCCTTGTACAGGTGAACTTGTATCTTCTCAGGCATCAGTTTAAAACGTTTTAATTTGGCTGCGGCGACTTTGGCTTTATTTAGTCTGTCCTTCACGTGGGGAATGATGCCCGTCCGAGAAATGATGAGGCCGAGCAACCTGCCTTGTTTAGAGTACTCAATCTCTTCGTCGTCGATCATCAATGGGGCCGGCTTGAATTTGGCTATGGGTATGACCTCAAATTTCGTTTTGTTTGTTTTTATTTTCCATTTATTTTCATACTCCGAGATCTCCTCTATTGCCCGAGCAGTGAGTCGCGCCATCCTTGCTGTGGACCTTCCTGGGCAGGTGACGATCTGTGTTACATCGTCGGCATACATGACGTACTCGCTGCCGACGATTGGGGGTGGCAGGTCAGCCGTGTAGAGTGTGTAAAGGGTTGGTGAGAGACAAGAGCCCTGAGGCACGCCGCTCGATAGTGAGAATTCTTCTCCAAAATGTTCTTGCATCTTGATTGTGGCTCTGCGGTCCGTAATGAAGTTGCACAGCAGGCGAGTCAGATTTTCGGGTAGCCCCAGTTGTATGATCTTATACTGCAGTCCTGCGTGCCAAACTTTGTCAAACGCCTTGCTGACGTCCCTCAGTACTATATTGCACTGTAGGCGGCCAGTCATGGCATTGGCGATCTGCTCGTAGGCCTGAGCTATGGCGGTGGGTGTGCCTCGGTACTGGCGGAAGCCGAACTGGCGGGGATTATGCACGTCTTCGTCCTCCAGATACATCCGCAATCGCTTGTTGACTATTTTTTCGAAGATTTTGGCAGGTACCTCTAGCAGCGATATTGGTCGAAAGTTTTCGACGTTC